GCCTTGGCCGAGGGCTGGGCCTGCCCCGCCTGCGGGCCGTGTCCCGCTTGCAGCGGGGGCCTGCCCTGCGGCAGCCCGGGCGTGTTGGCGAAAATAGGAGAAGCAGCATCCGCCTATGTCGAGAGCTCAGCTGCGCGTTTTCCCTTGTTGCGCGATACTGCTTACTGAAAATATTGCCCGAAGAATGTCTTTAAAAAGCGTTCATCTTAGGGAAGCAGAGAAACGTTTCTCTGGCAGCTAGTCAGGGGTCGCGGTGTCACCTGAGGACATCGCTCTGGGCCACCTCGGGACTGACAGGAGTCTCCTAAAAGAAGGATGAAAGTATCTACCCTTAATGGCAAATAGATGATAAGAGAAACGTGCAAATAAACAGCCAATGTGACATGCAGCCTCTAAAAATACCCATTCAATTAGCACAGACAGTTTCCTTCTGATCTTGACAACAGCGTGGATCTACCTTGAGATGGAAACTCTCAAGGGCAGGCTTCTTGATTTCATGCCTGTCTGCAGAGACTGTAGCAATGTGTTGCTATTGCATTAAGTGAGCATCATAATTTGTTGTGTCTCTGTGCGAAGGAAGAAAATGGTGGCATATTTCTGAGGAAACAGTGAAAATGCAGAGCACAACCTTCCAGTAAGGTAAACCAGTGAAGTTAGGATAAGGGCAATGTGTGCCAACAAAATTCCATTATAATTCCTCTGCGGCTTGGGAACCCCGATGTGCCCTTCAGTAAGGGCTACTTAGTGAAAAAAACCCTTCAATAACAGCAACAGTTTCAGTTGTCTCTGTCTCTGTTTCAGGTACAACCACTACGTTCTAACATCTCAGCAGCTGCATGCAGCAAGTGCTTCTGGTTTGGCATTTGGTAGCTATAAACCTTTGGAGGCAGGTATGCTGCAAGTCAATCTGGCAATACCTACGATTGTAGAGAAGAGGCTTTTAGTGAATTCTCTGAAGTGCAAAGTATGTGCAAGCATGTGCAAAAAAAGTATAGTCAACTTAATGCTGTATGCCAGTTCATTATTTGCTCTTGACATTGGATCACACAATCGTAGAATAATTTAGCTTGGATGGGACCTCTGGAGGTCACCTAGTTCAAATCCCCACTTAAAGCAGTGCATCATCGAAGTTAGAGCAGGTAGCTCCAGGCCTTGTTTGGTTGAGGCATTAAAATGGAGTTGAAAGTTGAGTCTGAAATTTAGCCAAATTTGGGGACTAAGTGCCCCAAACCTTGGAAAGTGACAGAGTTTTTAGACAGTCTGAATGAAACATACTCTTCCTTGGTTAATTGGAAGTTGTGTTTCCTTTCCATTTTTGGTGTCATGATTCTGGTTCTCCAGTTGTGCGACAGTCTTCAGTGTGCACAATATAGAGATTTTTGGAAGATAAAAAGCAAGCAGAAAATTATATTGCCCCACAGCACACAGATTTTCTCTTAGTAGATACAAAACTGAAATATTTTTAAAGTAACATTTCTCTGTACATTAACAAAATCAAAAAGGCTGATAAACCACTTTAAATTTGAAAGGTTCTTAGTATTTCACCTGCATAATGACTTATTTATTTAAAGGCTAAAGTAGAGTCATGCATTCATAGAGGTGCAGTGTAATCAGCTTTATTGCCATGTCCTTAACAGCACGAAGTTCTTCCTGTGCAAAAGCAAGCTCTTATGCCTTACTTGTGAGGGAAGGCATTCCACTAAATGAATTAAATTTATTCACTGAGTCAAGTTTGATGGAATGAAGACAGCTGATGTAAGCCTATCTTAATCCAATCTTGTGGTGTCACAGTGTTTCTTAGCCTGTGAAGTCAGTCTCTGAAGAAATCCCAGCATTATTATTTGCACTGCTCAGTGTCTACAGGTCCCAGGTAAAACGTACTTTATCAAAGAGTCTTAAATACAGTGAAAACTTCCTGGAGAATCTTATCCTCTAAGTAGGCAAGAAAGATGAAGAGTGAAGGAGGAAAAGATAATAAGATAAATGGAAATACCTGTGCTGTTGTACCTTCATGATGTGTCTTCTAAATGTCATCTGTGTTTTTCCTAAGTACTCAAGTTAAAAATATACTGACATCTTTCGAGGGGAAAAATTATAGAAACTAAATGGTTATATTAGTTGTGGGATTGAACTTTTCACCTGCTAATGCAAATAATTAATTTCAGCCGACACCGATGGCCCTGCTGAAGCTGTAGATAAAAGCACAGCCTCAGCAGATGCAGTTCTCGGTGTCCTAAGGACTCCAGAGAAGGTAAGACTGGAGGGTAAAATAAGATGAAAGAATGTGCAGCAGCTCAGCTCTTCCTTTTGTGCGGAGAGTGTAGTCAGAGCACCCCTTACAAGACTTGGCAAAATTTCCACCATCCTATTTCAGCTTTTTTCCTCCAGGCAGTAGCTAGTCCACCTACACTGGGGAATGTCAAACTGCATTAGGATGTCATTTGATTCAGTATAAATAGCATTACTTCGACAACAGGATTGCATGCCTATTTCTATAAATATGCCTCATTATACTCTCAGCATATTAAGTACCCTGTTGCCATTTGAAGTTAAATTTCCGAACACTTTTCTTATATGTAGTCTTTTAAGTGTGGTGTTAAGATTATGTATGCAAAGATCATGTTATTACAGTTGTCCTCAGAGCCACGTTTTCTGTCAAAGTCATAATCCATATCAAAAGCATATATGTGGTACTTGTGTTGGGTGTAACCTCAAGATTAATCTCCCACTAAAAAAAAAAAGGGAGGTATTATGGGATTAAAAAAATCTTCTTATAGTTACGTGGAATGAATAAAGAAACTTTAGAGGCAGCTTCTCCCTTTGTTTGCCACGGAAAAAAATGAGCCTTTATTCGGGTTTTGTATCAGCTAGAGCAATCCCTGTGATTACCTTATGATCCTATATTGATCCCACTCTGGCATCTATAGAATCTCTGTGCCTGTTCCTGACTTCTAGGCAGTGGGGCTCCAAATTGCTATAGCTACTTCTGCCAATTAAGATTTTGTCTAACCCCTGCTTTTTTACACACCCCAGTGTGACCCCACTTTGGCTACAGGAATAAGGAATATTCTGATAGAGCATCTCCCTAAAGCGTCAGGGCTTCCCACAGGCCTCACAGATTCAAGTCCTCATAACCTTTGAGTGCATCTCTACATTCACGCTGTTGTATGTTTTCAGACATGCTTTTCTGTGAAGCTGATTATGAAACGCAATAGTGATTTTTTGGTGCATCTGTTCTTAAGTTACTTCATTCACGTTTTATGGCAGCTTTTCATGGGATTCTACAGTATACTTTGCAGTTCTTTCCAGCTTTTGAGAGATTGATAAGTAGGGTCCTTTAAGTTTCAGATTTCTGAACTAGCTTAGTATTATTCAATATTCCACATGTTTAATTCCACACTCTGATTTCAGAATCTGTCAGGACCCACAGCAATACAACTCCACAAAAAGAGACACCTTCGGAACAAAGATGAACATCGGGAAAGCTTATAGTACCTTTAACATCAGCAACGGAACAGATCTAGCTGTTGGCTTTACCTCTTCCACAGTAGCTGTCCTTCTATTTGGGACAAACTTTGTGCCTGTTAAGAAATTTGATACTGGTGATGGTAAACTTATTTATATTCTTTTGTTGGTTTTGGTATTTTTGCTAATAGGAATAATATTTTACCAGCAAATATGGGAGTTTCTATAGCTGGAGTTATAAATATCATCACAGCCTTAATCCATAGAGCATGTTTTAATTTTCTTTGCTATTGTTAGGGTATAAGGCAATAATGTATTGGTCCAGGAAGTGGCAAATCTTTAGAAGAGCCTTTTTATGTGTTGTTGTGCACTTTAACAGTGATGATGTGCATTTCATGAGCATTTCACAATAGAAAGTGAAATGTCCTTTCTTCTACCCTTGTGGGGATTCTCAAATACATACAGTGTTATTTATACTCTAAAAGTTGTTGGACTTTGAAGTATTGCCTTTCAGTTGTGGACCTAACATAAAAACAATCACAAATTGAAATTTTAATACTTTCATCTGGTGACTCGGTAAGAAGAAACAATCGCTTCTATTTCCTACTTGGAATTTTATTACTTTACTGTACTAGGTTCATGTTGTATTTGCACGTTTATATGAAGCATAGTCAATTATCACATCACTAGATGAATAAATCTGCCATTATGTTACTGCAATAATAGTATCTGCATTACAGGCTGAATATAACCTCTCTCTCTTTGTGCCAAATATGGCCCTAACAAGGCAAGGCTAGACTTTAAAGCAGAAGTCTTAGCTCAGCTGGCATAAAGTTAACTGGTCTGCCTAGCTGACCCTTAGAGAATCTACAAAGGTAGAAGAGATCTCTCCAAAGTTTTTATCATCCTCAATGTCCTGGATTAGTGGAAAAGCCTGAGCCCTGATCTTTGAAGGAGTTTTGTCCTGTGCAGTCGTCTGTGTTAGCTGCTACTAGGGTGATGGGAGAAGTTTGCAGTAACTGAATATCCTCTTTGTCAGAAGCCTGTCAAAATTTTCATGTGTTTGAGAATCAGGGCTTGTGTACACTTCCTCCAGCAAAGTGTCTTTTGCAGCTGTGTATAAAGAATTCATGGTAAGGAAAAGGTTGTCAGAATTATAACACCCCACCCTAAAATACATCTTTTGAATATATTGTAACATATCCCTGAAATTCACAAAGGAGGTGGCCACCTTTCAATTCTTTCTGTACTACTTTATCTAAAACATAGTATGTTAAGACATTCACACATGCAATATTCTACAAGTTCTCTATTGTGTGCATTTGATTTTTCCATAGGCATGTTCTTCCAGTGGATTCTCTGTGCCTCCATATGGATAGTTTCTTTGGTGGTCAATTTAATCCAGAATTGCCCCCGGTTTTGGCCTCTGGCTATGGTTGGGGGTTTCGTGTGGGCTACAGGTAAGGATAAAGAGATTCTATTTCTTGAAACGCAAAGTAATCCTCGCTCTTCATAAAAAAAACAGTGACAAAAACTTTTCCATGTATAAGGTAGTAGTTAATTGGTAATTATTTGGCTTTTTAAAGTCTTGATATTAATGGAGCTGTACCCTTATAGCAAATATTGTTTTATTATGCTTATCTTATAAGCAGCAAATTCACACCAAAAATAACTTTAAAAATGGTATTGAGGAAAAGTCTGTGTTTGATGTATGTATTTTTAAAAAACACTAATTCCTACCACCTTGTACTTGCCTAAATTTCGTTGCCTTCTGAACAGTCACAGAATCTAAAGCAAAAATATACGAGATCACAGTCTAATTTTTAACTGATTTTAATTTTGTTTTTTTGTATTTCAGGCAATGTTACAGTTGTCCCTATTGTTAAAACTATTGGCTTAGCTCTTGGTCTTTTGATATGGGCTTCTTTTAATTTGCTGACAGGTTGGGCAAGTTCAAGGTGAGTATGTTTAAGTCTTAAGTCATACATAATTAATTTTGCCATTTCTTCATTAATAACTGCAATGAAAACACTATCACCAATAAAGAGGATTTATCATGTATGTAAGATCTTTTTCCCTCTCAGTGGAAAGTACTCAGGTTAATTATTTTATCTTTTCATGTTTCCTCTATCTCAATAGGAAGAAGAATGCCCAGTGATGTTCATTAACATAATTGAGTGAATAAATAATGTATCTGTTAATGTAAAACTAGTACACTGTTTGTTTTTTTTCTTCTACAATGTGGGCTGATAAAATAATTTAAATTAACTTCAATTTTTAAATACCCAGATTAAAAAAAATCATTATAAATTAAATTAAAGATTATTTTTGTAAAGTAGACATAGCTTTTTGCAAGCCAACTGAAGCACCAATCCAATATTGCAAATATAAACTTAAGAAGAATTATTTACATGAGTAAAGATTTCCAAGGCTGGGTTCTAATTTAACTATTTGTACGCAGTCAGTGCAACTAAGTGAAACTGGTTAAATATTCCAGGTTTGGTTGGTTTGGAATTGACCCAGAAGAGGTATCAAGACCAATCTTAAATTCTATTGGAGCTGGACTTTCACTATTAATGTAAAAATTTATTCTTATAATAAATTTCTATAATGTGAAATATATATTTAATAACCACAGGAACAATTTAACTAGAGGGCAAATGTATTGAAGTATTTCTTGCAAATTGATTTACTGCAGAATTCGTGAGCTATCCATACCTAGCTGGTCAGTGTTGTATTTCAGAATAGAAACATACATGATACCCAGTATGGTGGTGAAATCGTTATTCATAAACACAGAAATATATTTTTATGCTGGTAGGCATGTTCAAGGCAAAGCAATGATACACACTGATTGTCTTCCTAGCTAGGTTATTCAAATGGTTCACTTTCCCCAAATTTTGTGAGAGAGGAGAAACTGACTAGAAGAATCTTGGTGAGAAAACCTCTGTGAGATTTCCGATCTGACTTCACTCAGTCAGGGGTACAAATCCTTCCTCTTAACTGTAGAATACACCATAGGACCCCTTCCCAGATCCTTTGGGGCCCATGAAAAGCCAAAGGCTTTGCATTATCTCTTGTCCTTAATAGAATCATAGAATCATAGAATAGTTTGGGTTGGAAGGGACCTCTAAAGGTCATCTAGTCCAAACCCCCTGCCGTGGGCAGGGACATCTTCAACTAAATCAGGTTGCTCAGAGCCCCGTCCAACCTGACCTGGAATGTTTCCAGGGATGGGGCATCCACCACCTCTCTGGG